TCATGTATCAACAGTGCTAAAGAAAAGAAGCAGCAGCTTTTATGCTTGTATATTCTAGTCTTTATTGCCATATTTTCCATTTCTAAATAGCTTATCCCAGATAGCAGATAACTGTATATATTCAAACAATGTGTTGGTCAAAATGCAATGTAAATGCAAACCACACAAACACGTACACACACTCATTAAAGAAGAACTCTGGTTAATAAGGTATAATGAAGGCAAGGAATTATCTGCCAGAATATGTGAGAGAAGTATTATAAAAAACTCAGCATCATACATCATACTGACTAAAATGGGGATTTGAGAAGCAGTAAAGGTTAAGGGAATATTAACACACAAGATTATGCTGTTCCAAGGCATCTCTGATCCTCAGGGGATTTTAGAAAACCCAGAAGATCTATCTAGATTACATCAAAGATGAGAAGCTTAGAATTCAATGTGTAATTTTCTCCATAGCTACGTAGGGTATTATATGGTTTTTTTTTCCTGTTTGGATATTCAGCCATGCGATTCTGTCAGTCACTGATGGAATTACCCCAAGAAAATAAGATTATGAAAACTCCATTTGAAATTCTGCATAACTATTGGAAGCACAGGTTTGGGGAATCTTGGCCAAGACATTACTTCCTCCAAGACAACTAGGATGACATTCCAAGGGATCTGCATTAATGCTGAGCCCCAGAAGCAATGGTACCTGTGGGTATGTACTATGCTACACCTGGGAATAAATGAAATCCACCTGTAGTCCAACATGAACAGAACAACTCAGACAACTCAGGCTTGATCACATCTCTCAGGCAGTGTTTAGATGTGTTGCTTTGTCCGGTGCTTACACTTGAATCTTTTCAAAGTGCTTGCTGCTGTTCAGGAAATGGTGACACACTGCTCAGGGGATAGGGGAAACGGCTGTCTTTGCTATCACCTTCTTCATGCAGCTTGTTCTTGAGTGACACCTTAGGAGCAGGTCCATTGGACTGGCAACTAATTACATGACTGAATATTCTCAGGAGGACGTTACAGAATGATGCTCAGATCCAAAGGATGTAGGCATGTGAAATAAATAGGTGGATTGCAGAAGCCCAAAGCTGCAGTCAAACAAGAGTCCCTCAGAGGCTAATTTGGAGGTACTTTGGAGGACCTTCCCCTTCCAGCCTTAGATTCTGGCACGCACTTGAAATCTGTGCATGTCCTCCTGACCTTCCCTCACCTGAGCAATTCAGTGCCTCACTCCTGCTCAAGTCTCACCAGGGATTCTGCTGCCCCACAGCAGCCAAATCTCACAGTTATGTATTGCCTGAAAAAGCTTCATATGCTGACAGTCTCGTCGTCACAAAATATATAGGGACACGGAACAGAAGAAGGCAACACTGATCATCATGCCCAGTCCTCCACGAGGGACAACCAGAACATGAGCAGCATTCAGGGCATAAAGGACTCATGTCATAAAAGCTTTCCCATTGCTGACAAATGTGCCACAGGTGGGCAAGAGAAAGTATTTGAGGTCACGCCAATTAGCTTCATCCCTGTAACAAGAAGGACCATCACTTAACATTAAATTCTCAGGCAATTCAGATGGCTGCTCCTTCCAGGTCTGCCTTTCTCACTGGCCCCTCTGTCCAGGTGGTCACTACGGCCTCAGGAAGCCTAACTCCCTGCTAACACCCCAGTGTGCAGGGAAGCTCATACTGCACAGGCATAATTGCCTGCTTCAGATCTCATTTCCAAGGACCAGACTCACCCAGCCTTGCCAGTGTCACAGCTCAGCTCAGCACGGGACTTGTCCGCAGGACTTTTCGTTCAGAGCAGTCATAGAGGCTGCAAACGTAAAGCTGTGCACTAGTGGCTGAACAGCACCATGTAGCGTCCAGCTACTCAACAGAAGTACCAGTCATCCCTATCAAATTAATCAAGGAAAATTTCCTTTCTGATCTCAAACTTGGTGATTCCTTTAACCTTGAGCATGTGAGTAAAATACACCAAGGTGTCACTAAAAGGGTTTAGGATCTCAAATCCATCAGCTTGTCCTGACTTAACCTTACTCAGCCTATCACTGCGGCCACCCCAGTGCTGCAGGGGAGGGCAGTGAAGAACTGGAAACCAAATTTACACATCCTTGGGGGTGGAGACGATGAAAGAGGCAGAATAGCCCTTTCCTTTACAAACTTTGCCAATGACCAGGAGAAATTCTGAAATACAGGATTACTACAACAGAAATAAAATGCAAATAAATGTGAACACACAACAATCTAGTTTCAGTTCATCCTTTTTGGAATACTAAAGGATTTAACATTTCTCATTCCGGGATCAACCTTTTCATCCTCAGTATAAACAATGCATATTCCTTGTTCTCTATCTTATTTAGAATATCTGTACTCTTCAGGTGCTTATATACCATCTTCTGGTTTCCTCTTTAAATTAACCATGACCATTTTATAACTGTTCAACCTTGCACCATGACTTAAATTCCCTCTCCCAATATATTTATGGAGTCATCACTTCCACTCTCATCCAGTTTTTCTTGCTTTCTTTCCAAACCTTGTTGAGAAAGAGAACTGAAGAAAGCAAAATGCACAGCACCAAGGAAAACAAGAGCAGAACCACAAAATTGTGGCCTGTGACAGGAACATTCTCTTGGAAGTGGGTGAGTGAGACCCTGGACTACAGGACCTGGATGGCCAGGTCTCCCAAGACTGCTTTTGCATTTTACAATAAACAGAGAATAAATAAAATGCCTGTACATATGCAGCTACTCTTCCAAGTGATTAAGCCCGACCTCTGGGTTCAAACTACAAGTTTGCATGGTGACCTTACACACTGTCTAAGCCTGTCCAGGTAGCAGGTGGCATGCTACTGCTATTTCCAGACAGATTTAGTTCAAGAAGTAGCAGAGCAGAGCGGTTTTTTGCCTGACTGAATTCAATGTGAACAAAACACGATTGGCAGATTCTTGTGCTTAGGACCCAAGTTCCAGGTACTTGACCTATCATTACACCTTACAGCAATAAATTAAACATGCCTGGAATGGTTTTCTGACACTTAATAAGTGAACAGAACAATTCACATTGATATTTTCAAACTTTTTAAATCTCCAGAGTGCACGTATGCAAACTATCTAGCTGAGATGTTCCCAAGTTCACACTGATTTTTTAACCATGTCTGGGGCTTACACAAAATAAGGCCAGTTATTAATGATGTGCCCCAGGTACCAGTATCAGGGCCAATGCTGTTTAACCTCTTCATTAACAACCTGGAAGATAGCAGTAGTGCAGCTTCTGCAAGTTTACAGACAATACAACACTGGGGGGAGTGGTTGATACACCAGAGGTTTGTGCTGCCATTCAGAGAGACCTTGACATGGCAGAGAGGAGCCCCATCAAGTTCAAAGGGACATGCCAACTCCTGCACTTGGGGAGGAATAACCACAGGCACCAGCACATAACACGGACCGATCAGCTAGCTGGAAAGAAGCTTTGCAGAAAAGGCCTTGGCAGTGCTGGTGGACACCAATTTGCATGCAAGCAACACAGCCTTGCGGCAAACAAGGCCAACAGCCTCTGGAGCTGCATTAGGAAGAGTGTTGCCAGCAGGTTGATGGAGGTGATTTTCCACTCTGCTCAGCACTGGTGAGACATCTGGAGTGCTGGGTCCAGTTCTGGACTTCCCAGTACGAGAGAGACACGGACATAGTAGAGTGCCATCAAACTGCCATGAAGATGATAAACGCATCAGAACATCTGACCTACAAAGAGAGACCAAGAGCGGGGATTCTTCAGCCTGGAGAAGAGAAAGTTCAGGGAGATCTTATTAATGTGCATGAATACCTGATGGGGCAAGGGTGGAAGTAGAGAAATCTGAGCCAGTCTTCTCAGTGGTGCCCAAGGAAAGGACAAAAGGAAGTTGGCACAAAGTGAAACACAGGAAACTCCATTTATACACAAGGAGGAAAAAAACCCAAACCAACCCACAAGGGTGATAAAATGCTGGAACAGGTTATCCTGAGAGGCTATAGAGTCTCTGTCCTTGGAGATATTCAAAACCCAACTAGACACACTCCACAGTAACATGCTTCAGTTGACCCTGCTCTGTGCAGCGTGGTTGAAACAGTAGTGTCTCCAGAGATCCCTTCCAACCTCAGCAATTAGATGCTTCTGCAGCTGTGAACAACTTTACACAGGAAAATTGACACCACCACCACTACACAGCCCTTGACATCCTATGAAGTTCAAAGCCTGTCTAAAAGGTTTTACACTTTGTATGAAACAGTAACAATCAGGGCAGCATTTCATCTTTTGTGGAACTAAATTTCCCACTTGAGTCTGGATCCAGTAACTGTTACAGCAGCTATGCCTACAAACCTTTGACTGGGGACCCACATCTCCATTACGTCAGTGAAGCATACCTGTGGCTGAATCACACCTTTAATTTCAAGAAAGAGAAGAAAACATGGTTCTCTTGCATCCATGACTGATTATAATACCTTATATTTCGAAATAATGGAGGAATGAGATAGCTTCTCTCAGACTTAGGATGAAGCTAGCAGCTTCTTGCTTTTCTCAGATGGACTTAACCCACCTAACAAGTATAGGAAGAAGAACATAAGCTACACCATTTTGAGCAAAGCTCAACCTGGTGGACAGACTCTCACCAATGCTTATCCAGCTTGTAGGTTTGATCTGGTAAGCAGAATTGTCAGTCAAATTCCTAAAAAGCCAAAGGGTTTAATGTACCTGTAAAGTTAACATTAGATGAGCTGGAATTCCAAGAATTTCAGGAGGTGCTGAGAGACAAATGTGGCAGTTTCTTAAATTTTGGGTTTAGCCATAGTTATTAAATCTAGACCCAAGAGCTGTAGTTCAGGTGCCCAGGTTCTAAAATGGAGTGATGAAGATCATCAAGTTTATGACTGTGTGTCAAAGATGGTGGAAATGTAAAGATTTTATGAAAAGATTTATTCAGTAACAACAAAATTTTAGAAACAAAGTCCTACTCAGACTGAGCAGAATTAAATGTGCATTGAAATATGCAGATCATTATTTGACAAGTCATTTGGTGTACTAAATTATCTTCCTGGAATAACAGGTGAGGAAACACGCTTTTTAGTTTTGTTCATTTACTTTACTTCCATGGAAGTTGGCTCCTGGAAAAAGTTTACAAAACTAATTGATACATTTGATAGAATTGCCCTCTCCACCAGCACTGTGTGCATAGACTGTAACTCCAGATGTTACAGAACAATCAGATATTAACATAATTTTCATGTTTTTTTCCTTTACAAATTAGCATTATAGCGATCTCTGTTCTGAAAGTCTCTATAAGCACGTTTTGCATCTGTTTTACTGTGCGGGATTCTTCCAAAAGGTTCCAGATCGTTGAAGCAGGCATCAAAAACTTCATCCACAGCTTTTTCTGCCGTTTCTTTGCTAACTTTTCTAACAGCCAGAATGGAACGAATTGCTCTGTCTCGTACGCAAGTCTAAAGTGGGAATCAGATAAAGAAAAATGTGTCATTATTAGTATAAATAAATTTTTCCAGACTTTGTCAAGTCATACTCATACTACACTCATACACTCATACTACATACACAGTAATTTTGTATCACAGAAGAGTCAAACAATGCCTGTAATAAGCACTAAACTACGTTTTTGTTCCATCCTGTGCTAACTGTTCTAGTCTTTCACGTGCAAATAAACCGTCAGAGAAGTAAGACATTCCTTAGAACATGAAGGAATGACTCGTCTACTGGCCTTCATTTTAATACCTCTCTTTATGGCAACTTTTGCTTACACAGTTTGTCTACTAAAAGATAAAAGAAAAATGTAAATATCCCCAGCTACAAGCTAGCTACCACTCTGACACGAGCAACTACTTGGGACTCAACCCATAGTCTTCATTACTACTAAAAAAAATTAATTCCTATAAGGCTTAACACACGTGGTTATTTAGAACCCTTGTCATTCTCCTTCCTCCAGTTTTCAAAGACTTTTTAGTGGGTAAGGTATTCCTGCTACATTTCCTGCAAATCCTATTTTTTGTTTGGTTCTTATTAACCATCCATTGTCAGTGGTAATGCTTTACGATATGACTAAGTATTCAGGAATTTCAATCCAACAAAAATAAGAAGGTGGAAAAAAAAATTATCATGAATCATTAAAGGTTAATTAAGAGAAAGCAGCAAGTCCATGGCATCTACTTCTTTCTCTGATATTTTCAGCTATGAAGGCCAAGATCAAGTAGGTAAAGATAACTCATAATAAATCAGTAGACTTCAACATCTACAGTCTTTACCTGATGGTGTCCTTTCAATCCAAATTTAAACCTGGCTATTTCATTCATCAGTGTACAGTCTCCACTGAGATTAGCAGCTCGAATCTGTTGAGAAAAAAAAAAGTCACATGATCAGAGAAACACATGGAAATAAAGGCACAAAAGCTATAAAAAAGGTTTTTTTCTTCAATATCTTTCTGGTGACTGCTGGTAGAGAATATTCCCGGGGGTTGGGGGGGGGTGGGTGGTGTGGGTGTGTGGTTGTGTCTGTGTGTGTATGTACGTACACACACACACACACATATATACATACATATATATATGAACTGCTAAAAAAACATGGAAAGTAATATTCTCCCCAATCTGTATCAGAATCTGATGCATGAATCAGGAAGAAAGGCAGATACCTTTCAAAGACTACAGCTGCAATACCCAAAAGAGCAGTAACCCTCCTGCTTTGGGAAAAGCACATTTAAATGTCCTCCTAGAAGATATGCTCAAGCACATGGAAGACAGGGAGGTGATTCGAGACAGCCAGCATGGATTCACCAAGGGCAAGTCCTGCCTGACC